AACACTATTACCTGACTATTAAGATCTATGATGAATCATAGGACAACCTGGATCAATCATCATACCTTGGGAGTTTCATAAAAACATAGAAAACAAGAGGAGAAGTAAGCCACTGGCCCTTCAAGCCTGCTCTGCCATTCAATATGATCATGGCCACTCATCCAATTCAGTACCGTGTTTCCGCTTTCACCCCACACCCTTTGACCCCTTTAGCCCTAAGAACTATATTTACCTCTTTCTTGAAAACATTCAATGTATTGGCCTCAACTGCTTTCTGTAGTAGAGAATTCCACAAGTTCACCTTTGTCTGGGTGAATAAATTTCTCCTCATCTTAAATGGCCTACCCCATACCCTAGGTTGTGACCCCTGGTTCTGGACTCCCCAGTCATCCGAAACATCTTTCTTGCATTTACTAAGTTTGGTCTGTTAGAATTTTATAGGTTTCTACGAGATTCCCCCTCATTATTCCAAACTCATGTGAATATAATCCTAACCGATTCGGTCTATCCTCATATGTCAGTTCTGCCATCTCAGGAATAAGTCTGCTAAACCTTCACTGCACTTCCTCTATAGCAAAAACATCCTTCCTTTGATAAAGAGAACAAAATTGCACACAATACTACAGGTATGGTATCACCAAGGCCCTGCACAATTGCATCAAGACATCCCTGCTCCTGTACTTGAATCCTCTTGCCTTCTTCACTGCCTGCTGCATCTGCATGCTCACTTTCAGCTGCTGATGTTCAAGGACTCCCAGGTGTCATTGCACATTCTGCTTCCACATCTATCATCATTCAGATAATAATTTGCCTTCCTGTTTTGGAACTAAAGTGGATAACCTCACATTTATTCACACTGTACTTCATCTGCCATGCATTTGCCCGCTCATTCAACATTCTGTGAAGGGGTAGACGATGACAATGATTGTTTAGTCATCTCAGGGGACACAACTCTGGAGTGGAAGACAATTACTTTCAGTGTTGAGGGACTGCCTGAGAAACAGAAATATTGGCCAGGACACTGGGGAGAATTCTTTGATTTCATATTGTGGGATCTTTTAAATTCACCTAAAAGGGCAGGCACAGCCTTGGTTTAATGTCTTAATAAAAAGATAGCGCTCCTGACTTCAGTGCTAGACTGGAATGTTGACTTTAACGTTTTGTGCTCAAGTCCTGGAGTGGGATTTGTACCTATTGTCTGCTGACTCAGGCTGGAGAGTGCTAGAGCTGAGCCATAGCTGACACAGAAATGCAAATTGGAAAATTGCTCTTCCTTTATTTTGCTTCCCACCATCTCTTATATCCTTCCTCCATCAGGACCTCCCACCTCCTGGGTGTTCCACACCAAATCTCGATGGCTGGACCCTACTCTCTCTCATGTTGTTCCTCAGGAGTCTCCCCATGGTCATTTCCTAGCCATACTTTTCAAGGCCTCACACCATTCCTTAATCTGAATATCGACCTCACCACTGGGAGAGATAGAGAGAACACTCAACATTCACTGTAGATTACAGATGAGGGAATCTGAACATGGTTACAGCCCAAGGTGCCTGTTTAATGTGTGTTGACCCTCTGAAGAAGCAATTGACCCAGTGCCACTGGCACCATATTTACCCCATAGGCTTGCAAAAGTTTCCTTTCCAGATAATAATACAGTTCTGTGCTCTGGTACCTTCATCCTGTTTTAAGCTCCAGAGCTACATTAATTTATCTGGTTAACCCCTCTACTTGTTTGAATGAGCCATTGTATTCCTCCTTCTTTCTTATAGACAGCGCCACCTTCTGATGTGATTCATTTTAGCAGCTGATTAAAACGTTGGGCAGCAGTCATCGACTGAAACATGATTGATTAACCCAAGGATCTATTTCAATATAATGATTGCATCTTTTCCCTCAAGTATCAAGATTTATCAATTATCAATTACGTCTATGCAACATTGAGGATCTAACTAATTAAATTGAAGTGCTTTTATAGCACATCATGTAGGACAAGTAGCATCTTAATATAATGCAGTATCTGTCAGTTAATGAATAATTAATAGAATTGTTAGTTACATGAGAAAATTTATTTACTGGCACATTCTATTTGGATGTAGATGTAGGCAAAAAGAACAGTTTAGACTGGTGTCTTACTAGATCAGGTAAGACAAGTCCACAGAATTGATTTATTTACAGAAAATCTATTTTCTTTTATAAAAAAGTGTGGGACCTGGGTGTTGGTGGCTAGGCCAGCATTTATCGCCTATCCCTAGTTGCCCTTGAGAAGGCAGTGGTGAGCTGTCTTCTTGAACCGCTGCAGTCCCTGTGCTGCAAGTACACCCAGCATGTGCCATTAGGAAGGGAGTTCTGGGATTCAACCTGGTGAAGGAACAGCGATATATTTCCAAGTCAGGATGGTGAGTGGCTCTGAGGGGAATTTGCAGCTGGTAGTTTTCCCATGTATGATATTGTATATCATAATAAAGCAACGAGCAAATATTTATCTGTGGAATCAAATTTTTAAGAATTGCGATGACAACTGAACTGACACCCACTGGAGATAGGACTGAAACTGTAAGAGGCATTGATACCATTACCATAAATGTGGCTGACACAACTCTTTGGTGGGGCCCTGGTGAGGTCATTTGGATCAGTAATTTGGCAGAATATGCTTGCATTAGGGCATTTCCTCTCAGGATATCAACACAATTATGGCCTCCCAGAGCTCTCTCAAATCCCTGCACTTGAGGTGGAAATGATGGGAAGAATTTCAAGCAGTAGGACAAATTTAGGATTCAGTTGCTTGCAACAATGACCATCACACCAGTTTAACTGGTGATATACTCTAAGGGGATACATGGACACCAGTCATTACACAGTTTGACTTTGCATTAAAGTGACAGTTAACTAAATTTACAATGTGGGTAGTGATTGGTTTGGCAAGGTTTGGAAATAGTGTTGACGAGGTGAAATGAATGGGAGTCATTTGAGCAATTGACCACACAAATGTGCATATTGTTAAAGAAATTTTGTGCTGGAAAGTGAGAATAAATATGCAGGATTGTACATGAAACAGTCAAATGTGGTAGGAACTACAACCACAGTACTGGATGGGTTTAGAAGTCTTTTGTAGCCAGCAGTACAATTTGCCCTGTTCAAAATGAATAACCTATTCTCAGCATATTCTCCACTGCAGGGTAATTCTCAGTTTAATTGGAGGAAAGAAATAGTATTACACAGGACATTATGGCACAGAAATAAATTTGGAGAAGTTTTTTTTTAATTCTTCTTAGGATGTGGATGTTGCTGGCAAGGCCAGCATTTATTACCCATTTTTAACAACGCCTGGATTGAATTGCTTGCAAGGCCATTTTACAGTCAACCACAACAAAAACAAAGTTGCTGGAAAAGCTCAGCAGTTCTGGCAGCATCTGTGAAGGAGAAAACAGAGTTAACGTTTCGGGTCCGGTGACCCTTCCTCAGAACTCCTTCACAGATACTGCCAGACCTGCTGAGCTTTTCCAGCAACCTTGTTTTTGTTCCTGATTTACAGCATCTGCAGTTCTTTTGGTTTTTATTAGACTCAACCACATTGCTCAGAGTCTAGCGTCACATATAAGCCAGACAAGGGAAAGATGGCAGATTTCCTTCTCTAGAGGACATTAGTGAACTAGAAGAAATTTTACAAGTCAATGATTGTTTTATGATCATAATTAACGAGGCCAGCTTTTTCAGATCAGGTCCAGATTGATTAATTGGATTCAAATTCCAACAGTTGTTCGAGTGAGTTTTTACTTATGTTCCCTCAGCAACACCCTGTGGCTCTTAAATTGTTAGCCCAGCGACATTACCGCAATACCATCAGCTCTAGGATTGGGAGCACAGAGAATGGTGGCTCTAGTATCTTAGAACTTTGCTTTCTTTTAAGTAGTATATCGCTGAAGTTTTGTACTTACGAATTGGATCCCGTACAAGGGGGTGATTTTAAAGATCCGACGTATGAACATTTCGTGTTATGAACGTTACTTTAGATTGATTTGCATTATGCTCCAAACCGCGTATGAAATGACTTGTGAACGGACTCAAGAACGGAACCTGGAGATTGCCTGTATCTAGATATCTTCTCATCAACCTAGAGACTTTATGACACACCTCCGGAGCAGGTGGGACTTGAACCTTGACCTCCTGGCCCAGAGACAGGGACACTACCATTGTACCATGACAGCCCCTTTTTAATTCAAATTTCACCACCTGCAATGATGGGATTCAAACTCATGTTGCCAGAAAATTAGAGACAAAAAAAATACTGCAGATGCTGGAATCCAAGGTAGACTATACAGGATGCTGGAAGAACACAGCAAGCTAAGCAGCATCTGGAGGAAAGGAGAAGTCAATGTTTCAGGTATTACCCTTCTTCAGAACCTGGTTGGTTGTACCTACTACCGGTGTCCACCTATCACCACCATTCTGCTAATCCCTCCCCCCTCCTCTTTACCTGCAGCTCCCCCGACCCCCACAGTATTACCCTTCTTCAGGACAACTGTACAAACCTCAAGGTATGCAAGAGAATGAATGAAGAAAAAAAACCGTATAGCTAGATTAAATTTGCTGTACAATCAAGCTGAAGAATTTTTTTTTCAGCCAAACAGATCTCAATTTTTCAAATATTTTCAGTAGCATATTGTACACAACCAAGAATTTGTGTTACAAAATGTACCTTCAAAAATAATTGTGGGTTTTATATTTTCATAAAAGTACATCAAAACATTAGATTTAATTTGACAAAAAAAAAAGTCTGCCAGAAGTCACGAATGTGGCAAAATAAAATTAAGATTCTAGTGTGGTTTGCTCCAGAAATTAGTTTTGCTAAAATATGCCTGAGGAGCAGCACTGAATTTTTTAAGCTTTTCTGTAGTCTAACATATCTTGGAAACAAATGGAAAAGACAGCATAATGAGAGGATGGATCAAAAATATCTGGTGGATACTGAAGATCAAATGCAATTTCATCTGGGCCACTGATTTCAAAGTATATAATTTATTGGTATTTCAGCAAGTTTAAAACTTACACTATGTATAAATCTTTAAAAGCAGAACTTCACATTTGCAATCCCTAACAGTGAAGTTTGAAGCAATTACATAAAAATGTTCAAGTCAAACCACAACAATTACATGCTAATATTCCAAAACTTTATTTACATTTTTGACCAAATACTTGCCACAGCGACAAATGGATCTAACACTCTTCTAAAAAGCATAACAAACAATCATTGTGCCCAGGTGTAATTGGCCTTGGTTTATCCAGTGTATAGCTTTTTTCATTTTAGAAATTCTAATACAGACAATTTAATAAACTCAGTAGGTTTCTTCCTGCTTGAAGGTATTGTGACCTCCAAGATTGCTTTAAAATTGTCTTTGTTTCTTCTTTGGGATATTTGCCATTTCTGAGGCTTGAGTTTGGATGTAATGCATGCATATTTAGATTTGTGCTACAAATTCCATGCTTCTGGACGTTCAGTGCACTTTTCCAGCTGTAACGAATGCGATTCGCTTTGGGAAATCTGGTCAGGTGAATTCTTCAAACCATTTTAAAAAAGTGATCTTCACATCATTCAAAACTTGTCAGAAAAAAAAACTTTTGTAGTAAACACAAGGAGTTAACACAATGACCCGCTTCCATTGCAAATGTTTTTGAAACCTAAGTAATTATGATCTATGAAAAACATTTTCCATTCTATAGCAAGTTACCTAATAACTCCTTGTGCACAGTCAAAATTGTTTGATTGAGTAACACTGAAAATAAATCCTTGTGTCTAAAACCCTAGTGCCAATGGGAAAGCCAGGTTGAAGTAAATCTTAAACATACTTTACATGTGGATTTTTATATCAAACTTGGTTTAGTTTGGTCTTGCCTGCACAATATGCTTTTCACTACAGAATCTGCAAGGTAAAGTCTATTGTCAGTTATATTTTCCACAATATAGGGAAAACTGAATTCTAATTAGTGTTGGTGACATACATTTATTAAACCACATTATTGAATTGGAGCGGCAATAAAGAATATTTTAATCAAGAAGTATAGAAAAATAAATTAAATTGCTGCAGCTCACCTTGTATTTAAAAATAAATCTACAATATTAGATAATACAGTGGACCAACCATCTAATGGTGACTGGAAGAGACAAGTGTGCTTTGAATGTTTTCAATGTTTTCCACACACCCATCGAAGTTCCTGTTCTTCCTTGAGGTCCGTCAGGTCCTGGATTGACCTCCAGCTGCACTGACAGGCATATGCTCGGACACCTCTCCGACTCAATGTCTTCGCTTTCAGCTTATTTAAGTCAGGCATGTTGTTTCTGTTGGTGAAAGCAAGAAAGTATAGATGTGTATCATTTTAAATATGGTTTAACATTACATTTATTGTTTGCAATTAAAACTACTGGAAAAATCTGTACTGAATTTATTAACAAAGTGATAATATTTTCTTCCATCTTTCCTTATCTAAACCTACCATCATAATTCTCAGTTCCACCTCTCTCATCAGCTTAAATTAATCTGTATCATTCCAAGTATTCCCTGCAATACAGAGTTCCAGTTTTTGGGCAAAGAATTCTATTCTGAATTTCCTATTGGATTTCATGATGACTATCATATATTGAGGGTCTCCAAATGTACTTATCCCCACGAGCAGAAATATTCTCTGTATTCACTCTACCAAAACCCTTCAAAGATCTCCATTAGGTTATCCTCATCCTTTTTCTGTGAAAAGAGGCCCAGTCTGTGAATCCAATATCTCTATATAATTTTTTATAATGTGGCCACCTTAACTGCACGCAATATTTTAAACCAAGTTCCATTCAGGTTTAGGATAGCCTTCCCTACTTTTCAGTCATATTGCTGCAGAAATAAAGCCTAGAGTTTGGTTTGCCCTTTTTAAAATGGGGTTTGTTAACCTGTGACAATGGTTCATAACTTATGTCTTTGTGCTCTGGGATAGAGTCATACGACATGGAAACAGACCCTTCGGTTCAACTAGTCCAGGCTGACCATGTTCCCAAACTAAACTAGTCCCACTTCCCTGCGTTACCCTATCTACGCTTGCACCTTCCAAATAATAAGTGACCTTTCTATTCCTGCTAAAATATACTCCCTCCTCTTTCTCTGTGTTGAATGTTATTTGTGAGATTATTTGCTCATTTTTCAAAATTATTAAATGTTCTCCAACAATATGATGCAGTCCCCCTCAATATTGACTATCCCTTCACCAAATTTGTTGCTATACGCAAATTTATAAATTGTTTAAATTGGTTTGCAAAGCTTAATTCACTAATGTAAATTATGAACAGCAATGGTTCCAGTACTGATCCTTGTAGGACACCACTTGGCATCTTCTGGCACTGAATAACTAGTCTTTACTCCCACCCTCCGCTTTCTATCTTGAAGCCAGATAGCAATCTACTCTGTCACTTGTTCCCTAATTCCATATTCTCTAACCTTATTCATTGGCATCCAATGAAATGCCTTTTGAAATACAAGATAAATTACACTGACAGTATTACCTGTGTCTGCTCTATTATCCATTTTCTGTCCCAGTTACATGTTTTAAAAAAAAATCAAAAAAGTTGCTGAAAGAAGATCTTCATTTTTGAAATCCATGCTGACTATTCACTTTTATACTTTTGTTTCTAGAGGTTCTTTGATTATTTCTTCCCTGCTTTCCTAAAATAACTAACACTAATGATCAAACTCTGGTGAAACACCAAATCAGCAACTGCGTTCATGCGAGAAGCTTGTCTGTTACATCTTCCTGGTATGTTTTGCACTGTTATTCCATGAAAGGGAGACCATGTTTGACAAATGTATTAGTGTTTTTGAAAGCCTAACTAGGTACATAATAGTGGAGAAGTACTGTATTTGAATTATCAGAAGGCATTTATTTAACAGAAGTACAAAAAAAAGGCTGTTACACAAAATCTCAACTGATTGGGGATAATCTACTAGAATTGATTAAGAATTGATTAACAGACAGTTAACCAGAAAATAAGGACGGAAATGTCTTTTTTGAGATGGCATGATGTAACTACTATGCTTGGACAACAGCTATTTGCAATCTACATCATAGGAACATAGGAAACAAGAGTAGCCTGTTCAGCTCCTCGAGCCTGTTCACCCTTTAATGAGATCATGGTTGATCTGTAGCCTAACTCCATATATCTGCCTTTGGTCTATATCCCTTAATACCTCTTCTTAACAAAAAGTTATGTACCTCAGATTTAAAATTAACAACTGATCCAGCGTCCACTGCCCTTTGTAGAAAAGAGTTCCAAACATCTACCAGCCTTTGTGTATAGGAGTGCTTCCTAACATTTCTCCTGAATGGTTTGGCCTTACTTCTCAAATTATGCCCCTTAATAAGTTCCAGAATTTCCAACCAGTGGAAACAGTTTATCTTTATCTACCTAATCTAATGCTGTAATATATTAAAGACTTCGATTATATCACCCCTTAACCTTAAACCTAGAGAAAGCATGACTAATTTGTATAATCTTTCCTCACAACGCAGCCACTGAAGTCCGGGTATCATTCTTGTAAACTGATATTATATTCCCTCCAAGGCCAATATACAATGATTTAGACAAGGGAACAGAATATTAGTAAATGCTACAATATATGAGCAGAAGCTTAGTCAAAGAGTTAGGTTTTGAGGATTGTCTTAAAGGAACCACAGAAGCAGACGGGTTTCTTTCATGCGGGAATTTGAATTTATGGCCTTGGAAGCTGAAGAGATAACAGTGTGAAATTCTGTGTAACGACTGGGTATTTCTTCTTGAACTTTCTGCAGTTTGATATGATCGAGGCCATGTTATACAGTGTAAAAAATTCAAAATTTATGAATATGAAATGTGGAAGCATCGTGAATAGTGAGAAGAGCGTTGAACTTCAAAGGACCATGAATTTAATGCTGAGAACTGTAAAGTGATTCATTTTGGTAACAAGAACTTGGAGAGACAATGCAAAATAAAAGGAGCAATTCTAAACAGGATATAGGAACCGAGGAACAGAATGATTGTGTATATAAAAGTGAAAGGGCAGGTGCAAAAAGTGGTTCACAAAATAAACAGCATGCTATGTTTTAGTAATGAGGACCATTAATTGAGTACAGGATCAAGGAAATTATATTACACTTGTGTAGAGAACTAGTTATCTCAGCTGGAATATTATCTCCATTTCTGGAGCCATACTTTAGGAAAGATGTGAAGGCATTAGAGAGCTTGCAGGAAAGATTCATAAAAATGGTTTCGGGGATGATGAACTTCAACTTGACAGGAGATTTATTAGAAGCACTCAAAATCATAAAGGGGCTGGTCAGAGACAAAAAAATGCTCCCATTGTGGAAAGATCAAGAAGGAAAAGATTTAAGGTAATTGGCTAAACAAAGCAATGGCGACAGGAGTAAAAACATCTTTATTGACTACGATCTGTAATGCACTGCCTGAGAGTCTGGTGAAGGCAGGTTCAACCAAGGCATTCAAAAAGGAATTGGATTATTATGTTAAAATAGCAGGGCTATGAAGAGAAGGCTGGGGAATAGCATTAGATAAACTGCTCCTTCAAAAAGTCCATACAGATATAATAGGCTAAGTGGCCCTCCTTCCATGCTGTAATCGTTCTGTGATTATATGTTTGAATGCGCTTTTATCTCCTTAATTCTACATGTATCTAACTTAGGACCCTCCTCATTGTCACAAATAACACCCAGTTCCATGTTCCCCATGTTGACATTCTGCTAACTGACAGTGTTGGATGATTTCTGTCTTCCCACCTTCACACAAATTGTTATATAGTTTATTCCAGTAGTAAGACCAGATATCCCCTATGTAAACAGCACTGCACAAAGCTGTTTACAACTTGCAGAATTTGCCCTGCAAGCAACTTAATATGTGTGCAGCTTTTAATTTTTATTTGCAGAGGTACTGGTCATACTTTTCCAATCTTCTTTAAATACAGGGTGGTAGCAGAAGACTGGAGAATTACAATGCCAAGTGCTTGTTCCAAAAGAGTACAAGTCTAAAATCAGGAACTGCAGGCCAGGAACTTTAACAGTAGTGGTAGGAAAGGTTGATGAGAGTAATGCAATTGATGTGGTGTACGCGTGCTTTCAAAAGGTGTTCGACAATGTGCCTATAACAAAAAGCAAAGTGTTGCAATGTTTAAAAACTGAAATGAAAACATAACCTGAAATGTTAAATCTTTTCTCATGGAAAGATGCTGCCTGACCTGCTGAGTATTTCTTGCATTTTCTGTTTTTATGTCACATTATCAATTTGCCAGCAATATTAAAGCATATGAAATAAAACAGGACATGGCAGCACGGGTGTAAAGTTAGCTAAGTGACAGAAAACAGTGAGTAATGGTGAACGGTTCTTTATAAGATTGAACTAAGGAATATGACAAGTTTCCTCAGGAGTCGATAATAGGGTTGTTGCTTTCCTTGAACAAAAATAATGACTTAGACTCAAGTGTGAGGGGTACTGTTTTTAAAAAAAATTGCAAATGACACAGTTTAGCAGCATTGTGAACTGTGAGGAGCAAGTGATGGGCATCAAGAGTATAGGCTGGCGGAGGGAGTTAAAACCAAAAGAACTGCGGATGCTGTAAATCAGGAACAAAAACAAAGTTGCTGAAAAAGCTCAGCAGGTATGGCAGCATCTGTGGAGGAGAAAACAGAGTTAATGTTTCGGGTCCGGTGACCCTTCCTCAGAACTGATGGTGGCTGTTTATATGCAGAAAATAGGGAGGTGGGTGGGGTAGGGAGTAAACGATAAGATAGAGCCCAAAGAGAGAGAAAGACAGTTGGACAGACAAAGGAGTTGCTAACAATCAGGCTGGGAGGATGAATAGTTGTTAATGGGGACTGTTAGTGACTAACAACAGGGGGTGTGTAGTGGCACGCTACAGTAGTGGAGTGAGTAGACAGATAGCAGATAAAATTGAAAGACAGAAGAGTGATACATTTATGTAGGAACAGTGAAGGGAAACAATACACGATGAAATACACAATAAAGGCTATGTAGAGTTAGAGATCTGGGTATATTTTTGTACAAATTGCTGAAGGTGGCAGGGTAGGTCAAGAAAATGATTAAAATGACATAGGGTCCTGGACTTTATCCTTAGAGGCATAGAGTACAAAAACAAGGATATAATAAGGAACCTTCAGAAAAAAACTGATTGCCAACTTTTCTTTGTTCTTGATGAGTTGATAAAACCTTTGTTAGAAAAGCAAAAGAATTGTAACACAATAGTTTTGAACAGTACAGAATGTTTACCACCTAATTTTATGAATTTAGAATTCAATGTCAAAGCGAGTACAAAGAAATGGAGAGGGAACAAAAGATTCTGTTAAGATAGAAAGAAGAGGAGAGAGTTTTAAACTCTCCAACACTGAAAACTTGAAGGAATGGGTCTTCATACTTGTAGGTTGTGAATTTGCAGCCCCAGAGGGGTTGAGTGGCAGCAGTTAAAAACTTACTGCAATGTTAAGTGGGCACTTCGACTGAAATGTGCTACACTTAACTTTCTGGAGCAAGTTTGGTCCATATAAACCATGCAACTTCATGCAATGCATTTAAACAATAGGCTGGATAGTGAATTGCTGCTTTTACAAAGCTAATGTTGCAGTATTGCAAATTAGATGGCAATTATTGCATTTCAGTTCAGCGAAAATCCGTCACTTGCCTATAGCATTTGTACAAATGTACGTATCTTATCATTAATTTTACAGCAACATTTGGGACTACGTGAATGTTAAGTGAAAACCCAATATTACACAAGAGTTTGTTTGGAACATTCTAAATTTTCTAGTTTCATACTGGACTGTCATATCTGTACATAGTCTTGCATACCTGAAAAAAAAGTAGTCACATGACTTGTTCCATTCATAATCATCAAGTGCAATTACTCTAAAGTCACAGGTAGTACAGCGGAGTTGGTCACATGTTCTGTTTATTAGAAAACAAATATTTTGGCATCATAAAGTATATCGTTCACAAACTAAATTATATAACCATATTAAAACAGTGGAATTGGCAAACCAAGCTCTCAGTCTGCCAACACTTGTGTTGACATCATTAAAACTAACCTTTCATAAAATAAAACCAATACAATTATTTCTTAGAAGTTTCTGTAAAGCTCAACTATTGTTTTATAATTGTGAAGGACTGCTTTCAGTGTTTACTTGCTCACTAATTTTCAATTTTCTTCTCGGTATCGTTCAGATTCAGATTCAATAACGAGGAACCAGCAGCACAAGGTTTCATTCTTCAAATATGGAACACGAGATTAACCATATTATCTCAATGTTAAAACAAGGGCTAACGTGAATAAGGAGATCAAACACACCTCCATCACTAACACTGACCAGGTTACACATGGTGCTCTGGGAAATGTTTTAAAAAAAGGGAAATCAGAAGGTCCCATTGAAAATTATAGTGAAGAGTGTTCTAAATGTGTACTCCAAGTAGTACTAGAAGGGCATGCCGGGAAAATGATCTTTAGCATTAGCTAGGTTCAGTAGGATTGTGTCAGTCCAGGACTCAAGCAAACAACTTAGTTCAACGCCAGTGAGGAAATGCTGCATCGTTGAAGGTACAGTTCTAGGGCTGATATTCCCCTATGTCAGTGATTGAAGGTGAAGTTAAAAGGTCCATGACATTCAAAGATGATATGTTAAAGCTGTTATTTAAATGTCTTTATTAATATAAAGTGGAGAATCTTCTAACCACAAGCAGAGAGTCAAATGGTGATGTACTAACTTCTGAATTTATACTAGAGTGATCCCTGTGATATTTCGAGACAAAGCTATCTGTTTAAAAGGCAGCATGGCTGAATTGCATTTCAAATTGGCTTGCTCTAGCCATGTATTTCACGCTTTGAATTTACTCACTCCTCGTAAAAATTAAAATTCCAGCTTTATCAAACATATGAGGGCACTAAATATAAGTTTTATATGAAGAAATCTTCTATCACGTAGCAGTGAGTTGAAGTAGAGATAAGAAAACTGCTGATGCAACTGAAATGAGGAAGAATTTCTACTGAGGTGAGGAATTCCTTCAACCAAAGGGTGGTGAATCTCTGGAACTCACTGCTGCAGAAGGCCGAGAAAGCCAAGCCAATGAGTGTCCATAACACACAGGGAGAAGGCAGGAGAATGGCGTTGAGAAATATATCAAATGATTGAACGGCAGTGAAGACTTGATGGACCAAATGGCCTAATTCTGCTATTATATCTTATGCAACAGTTTCCGCATCATGGAAAATGGATGGATGTAACCGGATAATGAGGAAATGCACTGGTGACAATGTAGTCAGCCATCAGTACCTTGTTAGTTGTGGATATAGATACTACAAAAAGACAATATTTCAATATTTTAAAAATGATACACAAACAAGCAGGTGCATCATATCCATTCTCTTTTGCTCCCCAAAATTCTGTCTGACATGGACTACAACTAGGGATGAACATCATAAATCTGAAAATAAAAATACCTTTGAGAAGTGTTTGTTCCCAGTCCTAGAGGTGCAGAACTGCCACCGAGATAAACTGGACAACACCTGAAAACAAAGCATTCTCTTCAGATGCAGTATGCAGCTTAATATATCTAAAATGTTCCATCTATGCAATTCATACTTCTAGCATGTTGACAAAGTTCAGCAACAAATCACTCCAATGCCATCTTTACTGCTCATTAGCAATATCAAAAAAGCATGGACAGAGAAGGGACAAAAGGAGGATTTAAAAAAAAAAGTGGCACAGATTATATGATATTAAATGGTGGGGGTGGAAAGCACAGACAAGCCGAGCAGCAGGTGAAAAATCCATCAAGGCCAGAGATGTCGAAGCCTTGCCAATCTTAAGGAGGTCTTTCCTTAAATTATTTACAGCAGACTCTAGACCAACAGGCCAGCTGGCTGGCTGGTGGGAGAAAGCAACGTGGCATTAGGAAGCTTACAGCAGAGGACTCATGGAATAGACCAGTCAGTGGGGTAGATTTTTCTGGGCTATCAAATGGGGTAGTAGACAGTTAAAGAACCCCCCAACACCTCCAGATCAAGGTGGCAAAAGATGTGGGCCACAATTGGTAATAGTTGAACCAAAGGCTTCCTAATGTGGCCTGAATCGATCTCTTTTGTACTTCCTGGCTCACAGGAGTTAACCTTTAGTACTTTAAGTATTCGCTGACAATGCGGATGTAAGTTTATGTTGCTTTTGAACATTAATTAGATCTCAACATGCTCTTTAAAGGACACTTACTGACAGTCAGGAACTAAGTAAAGCATCGATAGTGAGGAAATTAATTAACTAAAGAGTGACAAATTCCCAGGAGCTGACAGTTTCCATCTGATGGTGTTAAAAGATGTAGGGGACCATATTGGAAGATTATAGTTAGGGTGTCTCCAGATTCCCTAGATAAAGGAGTTATCATGCTGGATTTGAAACTTGGAACATGTCATTCGTTTTTCAAGAAGGGCAAAAGAAGAAAACCAGGAAATTATAGACCAATTAGCCTAACATCTATGGTGGGGTTAATAGATAATGTACTGTAATTGTTGAAGATCTGAAACAAAAACATAAATTGCTGGCAGGTTTGGCAGCATCTGTGGGAAGAAAGCAGAGTTATTGTTTCAAGTCTGTTGACGCTTCATCGGAACCATCTATGATGGTTGAGAAACTGTTGGCGTATATAATCAAGGTTGGGGTAACTGAACACCTTAAAAATTTTCAGTTAGTCAGGGAAAGCCAACATGGATTCATAACAGATAGATCATGCCTGACAAACAACAGTGGATTTTTTAAAGCTGCGACTGAAGAAGTGTACGGAGGAATGTCTATGGATGCTGTTTAAATTGATTTCCAGAAGGCATTTACTTGATAAAGTCTCACATAAGACACTGATATCTAAGGTAGAAAAATTGAGGGTAAGAATGACATGGCTGGGAAATTCGCTGAGTGGCAGATGAAAGAAAATAGGGATAATGGATAGGTATTCAAATTGGCAGGATGTGACAAGTAGTGTCCCACAAGGATTTGTGCTGGGGCCTCAATTAATCACATTATTTATTAATGACTTGGATAATGGCGTAGAAAGTTATATATCTGAATTTGCTGATGATAAAAAGTTGGGTGGCATTGTAGACAGTGTATATGTTAGCATAAAATTACAAAGGGATATTGATAGCCTAGGTGAACGGGTAAAACTGTGGAGTTCAATGTAAGCAAGTGTGAAGTTATCGATTTTGGACCAAAAAAGGATAGACCAGAGTACTTTCTAGATGGTATGAAGTTAAATACAATGGATGTCGAAAGATACCTGGAATAGGTGCATAGATTTTTAAAATGGTGTAAACACGTGCAGAAAATAATCAAGAAAGTTAACGGATTGCTGGCCTTTATATCTACAGGACTGCTGTAAAGATGAAGAGATTTTCTGCAATTATACAAAACCCTGGCAGCCCCCATTTGGAGTACTGAGAGCAGATCTGGGCATTACACCTTGGGAAGGATATAACAGCCTTACAGGGAGTAAAACTTGGGTTTACAAGAATGATATCTGGACTTCAGGGGTTAAGTTATGAGGAAAGATTATATATTTTAGGCTGTTTTCTGTAGAATTTAGACATACAAAGAAAAATGGGCTCATTATTAAAATTGTCAATAACAGTTCAGTATTCTTAGAAACAGCTAATCACTGACCCAAATTATAACCCAATTATTTTATTGAAAAGTTAACCATGATGACCAATGACTTTGTCACCGAATTTTCCATTAGTACCCTCGTGTAATGAAGGAGTTTGAAATCCTTAATTAGCACATCTGCACAAAATGTCTGTCTTAAGAAATGCCAACTCAAGAGTCCTCGAGTTGGGAATGTGAAATAGAAACAGTCTGACATATAAAGGATGGGAAAAAAATTCTGCACAACTTTCTCAACACTTCCTCAGAAAAAGCACAGGTACAGAAAGGGAAGACTGAGACTATCAATTAGGAGGATAGGGCAAACTAAGGGGATATAGAACAGGTCTCACAGGCATTGGTCCCATTGAACAGGTGTAAGTAGGAAGAATATCCAGGTGACACTGTAGAGGTCTACTTCACAGAAAGAGGCCCTTTGGTCCATCAGTCTGAGCCAGTCAAAACACCCACTTAGTTATTCTAATCCATTTCCAGTACTTGGCCTGTAGACTTGTATGCTCTGGCATCACAAATACTTCTTAAATGTTATGAGAGTTTCTGCCTCTACCACCCTTACAGGCAGTGAGTTCCAGATTCCCACCACCCTCTACGTGAAAATTTCAATCCTCAAATACCTTCTAAACTTCGTGTCTCAAACTTTAAATCTATGCCCCTGGTCATTGATCCCTAAACTAAGAGGAAAATTTTCTTCCTCTCCACCCTATGTAGACCCTCATAATTTTATACATCTCAATTTTGCTCCCTCCACCCCCAGTCTCCTCTGATCCAAGGAAAACAACCCCAGTTCATCCAATCTCTCTTCAAATTTATAACTCTCCAGCCCAGCCTCTGTACCCTCTCCAGTGATTCATCTCAAGGTAAACGATATAGGAAAGGAAAAAGATGTCCTGCTGAGGGAATATCAGGAGTTAAAATGAACAAAAAGCTCAAAGATGGTAATCTCATAGAAACAGTGAATACAGAAACAGGAGTAGGCTCTTTGAGTCTGCTCTGTCATACAATGTGATCATTGATGACCATCTCCGAATTATCATCAACGTCATGTGCTGTCTCAGTAACAAAAATTTGGAAGGTGAACACATGGATGAATGAATGGTGCAAGGCAGGTTCCATTTAATGTAACACTGAGAATGAACTGGGGCTTTAAACAGTCTGCACCTAAACTCAGCTGGTTCTAGTGGAAATAATAAACAGGATTGTAAGAATGACTTTAAACTCATAACTGAGTGTGGACGGCTCAGCCAGAAGTAAATGTAAAACATACAATTTATTGATTAGAAAAACGATAAAGACAGGATTCAGGTTACAAAACACAATAAGGATACTGCAGCTGAATGAAAGTCTATATATAAAGTGAAATAGTTACAGCAGGAATGACAAATGAGAAACATGTTAATGCTGAGTTTTCAAAGCTGGGTCAGGAATCAACTTCAGATGAGTTCTCTCTTCGCATTATTTTTAAACAGAAATAGCACAGTTGGCCAGGAGATGAACTCAACACCAATTACAGGCTCTGAGAGCATCCAGGAGGCAGGAGAGAAGAAAACAATAAGTAGATTCCTAGTTCTGGTGATGGTTTATTGCAGTGAGCAGTAAATTCATTGGAATCCTTTAATTACACTATTTAAAAAAAAAATTCCTAAGGTATATATACCTATACAGTAACTTTTATGGAGTCACACTGGTGGGTAGCTTTGCCCATGGGGAGTTCACAATGTAAATTTGAATGTGTGCTTGCTGTGACTTTATATCCATTAATTTTATGAGTGGAGAAATTGTCGAGAAAATATTACCAAAATTCCAGTGTGTTTTATTAGCAGCCTATTTACATAAAATTGTTTCTAAGATGCCATTTTAGCATATTAGTAAACAAATAAAACATGTAAAGGCAAAACATTGAAGAAAATACAAAACAAGTTCAAAACCGATGGAGTGCTTTATATTTATCATTTTGTATTACTTAAAATCTTGATAAAACTACAGGTAGCTCTGCTATAACACGTGTTTCGTTAACACAAATTGGCTGTAACGGGATTGATAAATAGCAGACGCTGTTTGGATAACGCTAACTTTCTGCTGTACAGGTATAGTGATTTTCTGTAGTGATTTCCCTAGAATGCGATTTTCTATAGGGCGAGGTCACACAAGAACGCAGCTATCGCGTTATAGGAGAGCTGCCTGTAAATGTGCAAAATTTCATATCAATGATATCAATATAACCGAATGTAGTGAGTAACTTCAAAATTACATCAAAAAATTTCGTCAGCTTACTTTTTTCCCCTGGTCTGAGAAAAAGCTTTGTGACCTGTACAATTTGTTACTGCTCCTGGCCTTGACTTCTGCAACAAATGAATGGCACTTGAAATAATATAAGAACTTTGAGAAACAGCATTGATCATTTCATTTTTTAAGAAGCATCTCAATTATTTAAACGTAGATTCAAATCTAGGACATATGTAAACTAGCATGACCTGAATGCACGAGGATGTTTTCAGAACAAGCATGTCTGGGCAGATGAAGTTTTGCTATTGCAATGCAATGGCTTTTCAAGTGGAGAATGAAAATTTAGATTTAGCATTTAATTATTACTTCTATAGTAACAGCCTATTAAACGACCCGTTGCACAGAGCAAAAAAAAAGTGCTCAAGAAAACAAAAGTGCTCAACATTAAAAATGGGTTAAATTTTCAGTTTACAACAATGTTTCGTTGCTTTCATCTTACTGCAGTGCTGTCAGGGGGCAGAGATGAGTGTAATGGCCATCACTAAGGACAAGTTGCAGTGAGGCTGAAAGGTCTAAAGCTGGATAAATCACCCAGACCAGATGGACTACACACTAAAGTTCCAAAAAAGAAAGCTGAGGACATTGTGGAGGCACTGTTGGTGATCTTTCAGGAATCACTGGAGTCAGGGAGAGTCCCAGAGGACTGAAAAATGGCTAACATTAAATCTCTGTTTAAGAAGGGAGGGAGGCAGAAGACAGAAAACTGTAAACTGGGCAGCGTGGTGGCTCAGTGATTAGCACTGCTGCCTCGCAGTGCCAGGGACCCGAGTTTGATTTCACCCTCAGATGACTGTGTGGCGTTTGCATGCTCTCCCCATGTCTGCGTGAGTTTCCTCTGGGTGCTCCGGTTTCCTCCCACAGTTCAAAGATGTGTGGGTCAGGTTGACTGGCCATACTAAATTGTCCATAGTGTCCAGGGATGTACAGACTAGGTGGATTAGCTATGGGAAATGTGGGATTACAGGGAGAGGGTAGGGAGGTGGGTCTGGCTGCTCTTTGGAGGGTTGGCGTGGACTCCATGGGCCAAACAGCCTGCTTCCACACTGTGGGGATTCTTTGATTCTATAGGCCAGTTAGCCTGATCTCTGTTGTTAGCAAGATTTTAGAGTCCATTATTAAGGGAGATTGCAGAGTTCTTGGAAGTGCACGGTAAAACAGAGCTGAGTCAGCACAGCTTTGTCAAGGGGAGGTCATGCCTGACAAATCTGTTAGAATTTTTTGAGGCGGTAATGAGCAAGTTAGTTGAAGGTGAGCCAGTGGATGCGACCTATTTGGATTTCCAGAAGGCCTTTGACAAGGTGCTGCACAGGAGGCTGCTAACTAGGCTGGTGTTGAGGATTGGCTGACTGGCAGAAGGCAGACTGTGGGGATAAAAGGGTTATTTTCAAGATGGTAGCCGGTGAGTGGAGTTCTGTAAGGGTCAGTGTTGGCACCACAACTATTCACATTACACCTTAATGATCTGGATGAAGGAACTGAGAGTATTGTTGCTTAGTTTGCAGATGACACAAAGATAGGTGGAGAGATGGGTAGTGTTGAGGAAGCAGGGAGGCTGCAGAAGGATGTGGACAGGCTTGGAGATTAGGCAAAGAAGTGGCAGATGGAATAAATATGGGAAAGTGTGAGATTATGCACTTTGGTAGGAAAAATAGAGGTGTAGATTATTTTCTAATTGGGGAAATGCTTCAGAAATTTGAAGAACAAAGGGACTTAGGAGTCCTAGTTCAGGATTTTTTTAAGGTTAATATGCAGGGTCAGTTGGCAGTTGGAAAGGCTAATGAAATTTCAACAGGACTAGAATACAAAATCAGAGTTGTACAGCTAAAGCTATATAAGGCACTGGTCAGACCACCTTCAGAATAATGACAGCAGTTTTGGGGGCTCCATATCGAAGGATGGATGTGCTGGAATTGGAGGGGTCCAAAAGAGGTTTAGAAGAATGATCCCAGGGATGACGTGCTTGTCATAAGAAGACTGGTTGACGACTGTGGGTCTGTGCTCGATGGTTAGAAGGATAACAGGGATCTCATTGAAACTTATAGAATATTGAGAGGCCTGGATAGAGTGCAAGTGGAGAAGTTGTTTCCACTAGTAAGAGAGGCTCTGAGCCAACAGCACAACATTAGTGAAGGGAAAACCCTTTATAACTGAGATGAAGAGAAATTTCTTCAGTTGGTGGATGGTGAATCTGTGGACGTTTTTGCTGCAGAAGGCCAAGTCGATGAGTGTATTTAAGACAGAGATAGATATGTTCTTGACTAGTAAGGGGATCAAGGCTATAGCGAGAAGCAGAAGAATGGAGTTGAGAAACATATCAGCCTTGATCGAATGGTGGTGTAGACTCGATAGGCTGAATGGCCTAATTCTGCTCCTATATCTTATGGTCTTATGCATATGTGGCATGCTTGCAAAATACAGCCTGGCCATTTAGTGAAATTTTCTTAAAATTGCAAGGCAATGCTCATACAGTGAACTATTGTTAAGTACTTGTTCTACTTATAAACGTGAATTCTCTTAGCTCATGCTGTCAATTTATACCACAATAGGAATCATATTATTACTTACTTATAACAGAGAATAGAAACAGCCATCTTCCCAACAGAGCCATGTTAGTGCTTTTCCACAGCACAAGATTTCTCCCCTCTTTTTCATTTACATTCTAATGTGAAAATTTTCCATTTCTTGTTCCATCTCGTATTTACAAGCTTCCCCTAGCTGCATCTTAGCTTCCTCTTAAATTCATCATTTATGTAAAGGTGAGTCAGTGATAATCAGCATATCAATTGTTTCAAAGCAAAAGTGGTTTCATGCCAATAAAACCTATGGAGTTTATGTATGACATTGTACAGCAAAGAAAACCTTGGTTAAAGAAAAATTGCAAGGCCATTGTTGCGAAGTTGGGTAGAGTGCTTTTGGATTGAAAGGCAGGACATTAGAATTTGGTGTTTGTAAAATATTGATGTTTATAAAATGCTTGGGATGGGGTAAGCAGTGGTCCCTTTAAATGATGATATGTTTTTTCTATGCTTAGAGCTTCAAAAAGGATGTTTGTGGGTTTGTAGATGCACGGAGCACCTGAACTGAAATGTATCAAAAGGCTGTACTGTTAGCAGGCAAAGCAGCATTTTTACCAAGACAACAGGTTTTTGAATTTAGCCAATTAATTTAAACCAGGCCCTTAGATACTAAAAACCAATTAAATTTAAATCTGAAGAAGGGTCTAGGCCTGAAACGTCAGCCTTCCTGGTCCTCTGATGCTGATTGGCCTGCTGTGTTCATCCAGCTCTATACCTTGTTATCTCAGATTCTCCAGCATCTGCAGTTCCTACTATCTCTAAATTTAAATCTGATGATTTTGACAACATAAGACCAATCCTATTGTAAGACATTGATATGTCATCAAGGGTATAAAAGACGAGGGGTTTTAGAAAATCGGGGGAGAGCGAACTACCATCTGCCAGAGTTAATAGCCATCGCTATAAAGAATGAATCACTGGCTCTCACAGAATTCTCTAAGCCTCAGGGTAAGTATCACCTAAATCAAAGGTACCTACAGCATAACTAGTTACTGTTCCTGACAAAAGAATTCAATGGAGAAGGCGCTCCTGACAGAAGGATTCACAGAGATGGCGTTCCTGACAGAAGATTGACAGAAAACGCACAGAACATTCCGGAACATGTAACCTGGCTGTAATTTCGAGAGACTAAGTTCTAATTTTTTCTTATTTCGTTTTATAAGTGGGGCTTGTATTTATTGGAACAGCATATCATTAGAATCTTGTTTTATTCGGGAATAGTTAGTAGTTAGAAGGGATTTATTCGGTTTGTTAATAGTTTAGTCGATTTGTTCACTGTTAGAGTTAGATGAACAAATTGTTACTTGTTGATTATAAAGTGAGTGTTGGGGGGTTTATTTTATTTAACCACTCCTTTATAATAGATTGGGGGCTCTTTTAACAGATTATAGGACAAGGTGCGCCTCTTTGGGTGTTCCGGTTTTACTTATTGGGGTGGAGGAGGGGGGTCAACATCCGCTTTATAATAGCCATCAAGCTTTCCATAAGGAAAGGGCACCTTTTGTTCAATTTACAATGCATATGAATTAGGTTAGACTTGAGAAGAATTTTTCATGTGCCACCTTGATGTGAAAATGCTAATTATTGCTGAGGACCCATATCTACTAGAAACTGATTTGACAATGCCCAAACTCTCTACATTTTCAACCTTAACAACCAGCAGGTGGAAATAGTTTTCCCTTCTTCTAGTATGAGCTCATCATTGATAATACATTATCTATCAGTTACTGAATTGCAAATTGAGGCACAGAAATTAGATTTACACAAGAGATTTTAAAATAACTACTGTACAACATATATTCAAATTGAATGAGAAGGATGTTTCTGGTAAAGTTTGATGAGGTCATATAAACGCACATAACTATTTTTGGATATTATTTTGAAAGTATTCAACTTACAGAAGGATCAGATAAACTTGGATCATCATGAAAAATGTCATCAATAAGATCATTTAAATCATCTTCCTCTTTGGAAATTTCTTTAGATGGGACTGAAGGTGCACTGAAAAATATAACACAAATATTGTTAACATATTGTATGTGCATTAGATACGATTCTATGATAAATCTGCAAATCCAAATTTTCACAGGAGGTAAACAGTGGAAAAATGAACAGAAAATGCCAGAAATCTGACACAGAAACAATTAAAATATACAGGAAAAAAACAGATTGTGTAGTTTTTGAAATCAGCTGGATTGACACATCTGTTTTTAACAGGAAATGCAGAAAATACACCGTAAAAGTCTGTACCAAAGGAAAAATTGCAGCTGCTCCATGGAAATTTATTATAGTAGTCAACACAATAGCAGAGATCCAGGAGCATTGTGGATTGATTATTTTGTGAATTTGACTTTGAAAGATTGTGGAGAGATCTGGATTTTCTGTTAAAACAAAACAAGGCATTTCTTGCAAACTATGTGGTTGCAGATAGTTGTGATCTTGGGTGCTAGAACTCACTTTAGGGAAAACACATAACTGTTTTTACTGTGTTTTATGGCAATTATGTGAAACAGACCCTTTGGTCCAAGTCCTCCAATGCCAACCAAATATCCTAAACTAATCTAATTCCTATTTGCCAGCGTTTGGCCCATATCCCCCTAAACCCTTCCTATTCAATTACCCCTGGTTTTGGACTTTTAATGGTGGAAAAGTGTGCTGAAAGAAAATGTTGCCTGTTTTTCAAGCATGTTTGTGGTGAATCCAATGTGAAACCTGATTGTCCTCTTAAAGAGCAACTGAAAGACTTGTTAATGCTGTGTTTCCTGAACAAAATGTCTCTACCAAGGTCCCAAAGATAACTGCCTATGTTGGTAATGCCCATCTACATGTGCCAGAATACCAGGCTGACAGCAATCTAAACATTCTGCATGTTGTCCCTTTTTTATTTCTGCAAGAACTAACAGTTATTAACCAAAAATGTATTTTCCCTAAAGTGAATCCCTGTGGAGAAAAATCTGCTTTGTTCTCTTTTAAGTGAGTGTGTGTGTGCGTTTGTGTGTGTATTGCATGTTGGGGGTTATTTAGATAGGTAAATATTAATATTTTCATATTATGTACTGTTTGTGTTAATTGATTCTGTTGTCTTGGAATAAGATTTGTTGCAAAATAATAAATTTTGTATTTATTAAAGAAACCTGGTTGATGGATGCTTTAAATTTCAAGTTTAATGTAGAAAAAGCATACAGCTGGCCAAACCAGGAACTGGGAAAAATAAATAAATTTACGCTGTGAACCATGAAGTAGTAGAACGAGAGAAAGGCAGTGCATTCCTCTCTCCTCAGTTGTATCAAAGATATGAATATAGGAAGATACGAACATGGAGGAAGAGGTCATTTGGCCCATCGAGCCTGCTGCACCATTCAATAAGATTACAGCTGATTTAATTGTGGCTTCTACTCCACATCCCCTTTGGCTACCTTTTGAAAAGGAGGAGCAGTGATCCTGATAACAAAGAACAGTAGTAAGAAAGGATGTAGCTTAGAGGATCAGGAGGTAGAATTAATACAGGTGGAGAAAATAGAAATAACAAGGATCAGTAAATGATAGTGAGAGCAGCTTATATGTCTCTAAAAATTGTTATTCCATTGGTCAGAACCTTAAAAAATAAATAACTGACATCGTAACAAAAGCAATGTAATAATCATGGGAACTTTAATAGAACCATTGAATCATACTGCATGGAAACAGACCCTTCGGTCCAATCAGTCCATGCCAAGCATAATCCTAAAATAAACTAGTCCTACCCGCTTCATCCTAGCCCATGTCCCTCCAAACCTTTCCTATTCATGTATCTATCCAAATGTCTTTTAAACATTGTAATTCTACCTACATCCACCACTTCCTCAGGAAGTTCATTCGACATGCGAACTACCCTGTGTCTTTTTTAAATCTGTCTCCTCTCACCTTAAAAATGTGTCCCCTAGTCTTGAAATCCCCCATCCTAGGGAAAACACAACTACCTGAATGCTATTTATATCCCTCATTATTTTAAAAACTCCTATAAGGTTGCCTCTAACCCCCCATGCTTCAGTGAAAAAAGTCCCAGCCTTTCCTGCCATTCTTTATAACTCAAACCTTCCATACCTAATAAATCTCTTCTGAACCCTCTCCAGCTTAATAATATCCTTCCTATAACTGGGTGACCAGAACTGGACACAGTATTCCAGAAGATGCTTCACCAGGGTCCTGTACAACCTCAACATGACTTCCCAATTCCTTTACTCAAAAGACTGAGCAATGAAGACAAGCGTGCTAAATGCCTTTTTAACTACCTTGAATATATGTGACGTAAACTTCAAAGAATTATGTACCTGAACACCTAGATCCCTCTGCTCTACAACACTATCCAACTGTATAAGCCCTACCCTTGTTTGTTGTACCAAAATCCAAAACCACGCATTTACCCAGATTAAACTCTATTTGCCATTTTTCAGACCATTGACCCATTTGAACAAGATCCCTTTTGTAATCTTAGAAAACCTTCTTCACTGCCTACAATGCCACTAATTTTGGTGTCGTCTGCAGACTTACTAACACCACCCTCTATATTCTCATCCCAATCATTTATGTAAATGACAAATAAAAGAAGATCCAGAACTAGTCCCCGTGGAGCACCACTGGTGACTGGCCTCCAGTCTGAAAAGTGACCCCCCACCACCACTCTCTGTCTCCTGCTGTTAAGTCTTATCTATCTATTTGGCAAACTCACCCTGAATCCCATTGACCTAACTTTAATAATTAGTCTACCATGCAGAACTTTGTTGAAGGCTTTACTAAAGTCCTAGTAAACAACACCTACTGTTCTGTCCTCAACAATCTTTTTGGTAACTTCCTCAAAAAACTGAATCAAGTTTGTGAGATACAACTTTCCTCACACAAAACCATGCTGACTATCCCTAATCAATTTTTGCTTCTCTAAATGTCCATAAATCCTATCTTTTAAAATCACCTGCAACAATTTATCCACAACCGAAGTCAGACTCACAAGTCTATAGTTCCCAGGTTTCTGCTTACAACCTTTTTTAAACAAAGGTACTCTTCAAGTAGACTGGACAAATCAAACTGGCAATGGCAGTTTGGAAGATCATTTTGGACAGCACATTCATGACTGCTTTCTAGAACTGTAGGATCAAATAAGGATAAATTTTGGCTATAGCATTATTAAACGAGGCAGAGTCAATCGGTGATGTCTTAGTAAAAGATCCCCGGGAAAAAGTGATGATATAACTGAATTCTATATTCAGTCTGAAAGCAATATACTTCAGCCCCAAACAAGAATCTTAAATTTACACAATGCTAATTACATTGGTGTGAAGAGAGAGCTGGTTAAGGTTAACTGGGTAAGCAAACTAAAGGAATGGTTACAAACATATAGTGGGAAACATTTAGGAAATGTATTCAAAATTTTCAACAAAAAATGTGCTCCTTTATAAAATAGAATTCAGCACTTACTGAATCTTACTTGCTAGATAAATTACAGGTAGTATTAGATTAAAAGAAGAGGCTTATAATTTTGCAAAGAATAACAGCGAGCCTAAAAATGAAGGATTTTAGAACCAGCAAGAGAACCACCATTAAGGTGACAAAAAAGGGAAAACAACATGGTTAAATTAACCAGGATTTTGCTAACTTCCAAAGTATATAAAAAGCAGAATAGTGGCTAAAATGAACTTTAGCCGGATATGTTATAATACAAAAAAAAGCCGATCTTGGAAACAATGTTTACTCAGACATGTAAAACGTCTTCACAGGTCTGCAGATGCTGTTTGCCCTGAGTGGTGACTTTGAAAATTCAAGCAAGATACACAGAGCTGTGTGCCAATAGCACATTGTCCAAGGATTTTATGAAGGTCTGGCATTCATTGTTGAAACCGTTATCAAACTGGTAAAATATAATTCTTTTATTTTGCTTTTTTAAAAATTTATCCTGTAACTATCTGTTGGTGAGTGTTGGGGATTATATTAAAAGAAAGTTGGGCTTAGATTACAAATACTAATTAGATTGCCTTGTTCATCTGTATTTTGCTAAAGTTATATTAGTAATAGATTGTTAATTATTGTTAATGCTATGGACTTGGTGTCCGAGATTAGTTATTGTGAAGTCAGGTTAGGAACTATTGAGCAATTTTTAAGGTCATTGACAGTTTTAATTTCAATGTGGTCCGATGCCAGTGACAGTGAGGCTGATTTGGTTTGGCTTGCCATCCCTGTGTCAAAACAAATCTGAGACCAATGTTGATTAGTTGGTTTCAACTTTTTGAAAATGTTAAGAATAATCTCTTCAAAATGAAGTGTTAAAGTCTTGTGTCATTATTTGACCAGGTTGACAGAGTTGGTAAGGAGATGGCAGACGGAATATAATGTAGGCAAGTGAGATATTATCCATTTTGCAGGAGAAACAGAGGTGCAGAATATTTCTTAAGTGATAAGAGATGGGGAAGTATTATTGAAAAGGATCTGGGTGTACTTGTTCATGAATCATCTAATACGTAGATGCAGCAAGCGAATAAAATGCTGGCCTTTATCACTACATTCAAGAACATGAGTAAAAATGTCTTGTCTCGATTGTATTGAAGCTTGATAACACTGCACCAAAGTACTGTATGCAGTTTTGGCCTCCTTACATCAGGAAGGATGAACAGTACTTGTGACTGAGGCATACAGTGCAGTGGATGTACACCAGATTAATTATTGTGATGGCAGGACAATCCTACGTGGAGATATTGAGGAAAACGGACTGATATTCTCTAAAGCTGAGTGAGATGATCTCATTGAGCTTTACATAATTACTAAAGAGCTCAACAGGGTGGATGTAAAAGCATGTTTCCCTGGCTGGGAAGTCTAGAACCAGGTCTCAGACTAAGGGACGAGCCACTTAAGGACAGAGAGGAGGAGAATTTTCTTCACTCAGAGGGTGGGATAACTTTGTAATTCTATACCCAGATGGCTGTGGGAGCTTAATGTTGAATTTATTTAAGGCAGATAGATAGATTGCTAGATATTAATGACACTAAGGGTTATAGAGTCACACTGCTCAGAAACAGACTCTTCGATCCAACTCATCCATGCTGACTAGGCATCAGACCTAAGCACATTTGCCAGCATTTGGCCCATTACTCTCTAAACCCTTCCTATTCATCTACCAATCCAGATGCCTTCTAAATGCTGTAATTGTACCTGCCCCCACCACTTCCTCGGTCAGCTCATTCCATACACGCACCACCCTCTGAGTGAAGAAATTATCCATCAGGTCCTTTTTTAATCTTTTCCCTCTAACCTTAAACCTATGCCCTCTAGTTTTATACTTCCCTACCCAGGAGAAAGACCTTGGCTATTCACCCTAACCATCGAACCTACTATGACTTTACAAACCTCTGTAAGGTCACACCTCAGCTTCTGACACTCCATGAAGAAAAAGCCCCAGCTGATTCAGCCTCTCCCTATGACTCAAACCCTGTAGTCCTGGCAAAATCCTTGTAAATCTTTTCTGCACCCTCCCAAGTTGTTCAACATCATTTCTATAGAAGGGCGACCAGAATCGTATGCAGTATTCTAAAAGTGACCTCACCAATGTCCTGTACAGCTGCAATATGACGTTCCAACTACTATACCCAATGTTCTGTCAATGAAGGCAAGCGTGCCAAATCCCTTCTTTACCACCCTGTCTACCTGCAACTGCAGTTTCAAGGAACTACGCATCTGCACCCTTAGGTCTCTTTATGGGTTATGGAGATAGTGCAGGAAAAGGGTATTGAAGTAGGCGATCAGCCTTCACCTAGAATGGCAGAACAGTCTTGAAGGTCGAATAGCTCTTATCTGTAACACGCACATAAAGATACAAAATGCCACAGCGTAACTATTTATGCTGTTACATAAAACAGTATGCATATTTATTTTAAAAAGCATGTATCTGGCTGGACTTATGAAACAGTGACGATAACAATATAAAAACAATAACTTGGACTTTGTGGTCATTTGTGAAACAAAGATGCTCGACAATCACTTCAAAGGGTTTCATGAGAGATGCATATGAGAATTCCCAACTTGAATCTGCAACATCATCATCAAATTGAGCAAGCTCCAAGTAGAGAGAGCTGTTAATAGTGCATACAGTATTCTAGGTTTAATTGGTACAAGGGCAAGAACGTTATGCTGAATTTATGCAAGACAGTTAGACCTCAACTGCATTTTTGTGTACAGTGCTGGCATCACACTTTAGGTGAGCTCACTGGAAAAAGTGCAAAGGGTTTAAAAGAATGATCCAGGGTTGGACAACATCAGTTATTAGGACAGACTGGAGAAGTTGCAACTGATTTTCTTGGGGAGGAAGAAGTTAAGGGAAAGCTTTGATAAAAGTTTTAAAATCATAACAGCTCTTGACAGAGTACATAAGAGAAACTGTTCCTGCTCATAAGCTGATCGAGAACCATGGGTACAGTTTTAAAGTGTTTTGCGAAAGAAGCAAATGCAAAGTGCAAAAAAAATTCAGACAGTGAATGATTAGGGGACAGAATTGAAGTACGGCGGAAGCAGGTTGAATTGATGCATTCAAATGACATTAAATAATTATTTAAATAGAAATAACATGCAGGGTTATAGGGAAAACCCAGGACCTTGACAATAAGGCAAAATACTTGAAAAGCCGGTGAAGACTCAATTTGCCAAATGGCCCCCTTCTGTACTGTAACATTTCAGTGAATCATCAACCACATTAAAGAGTGTTGAAAGTCAAGCAGAGAATTAAAAATACTAAAATTAAATGCTCTCAGTCTTTACACTGAACAAAATAAAGACTGACATCCACATAGGCTAAAGGTTTTTTAAAAAACAAAATATCATGGAGAAAATTTGAAGAGTTTGTCTCTGACTTGAAACTTTAACTTTTTTTCTTCCTCTACAGATGCTTCAAGACCTGCAGAGTTTCTCCTGAATTTTCTATTGCTAGAGTCTATTTGATACTCTGTTTGCTTAAAAGGTTACCTGGACTGCATTATTCCTCTGATTTAGGATCACAACCCCCAAATCAACCACCCACTACTTCACTAAAACAAAATTAACACAAATTTAAGAGCCAACATAAAACATTTCCAGTCCAAACCTTTCCAGTCCTATGAAAAGCCTAGACTTTTGGAAGGTGGAAAGATGGGATTTGACATTGAACAGTTGCTCTCATTATACCTCTAGAACTGACCATAACATCAGGCGTTCGCACAAACATGAAATAACTCCATCGAGAAGCCCATACTGGGTATTAAACATTGTAAACTCAGCGATCAGAGAAGAACGCACCATGTTGGTGATAAAGTGAAAACTATTGAAAATACTATTACATCAAAAATACTTCATTAACTGTAAAACGGTTTGGGACGTGCGAGAAGTCGCTATATAAATGCAATTTCTTTACATCTTCTTCAACCAGAAATAATAAACAGAAAGGTTCAGAGTTTAGGATAAATGAGACAAACAGCCCCAGCCTCTGGTGACCCACAGGTTGTGTCTTGTACCATGAGCAGACAGTCCTGCTCCAGGCGAGCTGAAGCTCTGATGTGTGATGGTAAAGTGTTGTTCACCCAGGTTCCTTACCACACCCGCCCGGGAACACACCACTAAAGCTCAAAGAAACAAATTACTGCCATTTAACCTGATTTTCACCTCCTTGCTCGCTCCCTCCTTGCTCGGCGCCGGCCGGTCCCTACAGAACCGCAGCTCCACTTCGTCCAGAAGCTCATCCAGATCGTCCGCCATGACAGCAGCGCCTGTTGCCTGGAGCCGGCGAGCGCGCGCACGCAACGGCGGGCTGTGTCCCGGGGGCGCGCACGCAACCGCGCCCGATGCCGTCGGCAGCGCGCGTCTGGGTACGCAGGAGACGCCGGCAGCGGTAGGCGCACATTGGTGTATGGGACAAATAAACTCAACACAAAAGTGAAAAGAATTCATAAATGTCTGAAATAAGCACACCTAATGATCAGACATTTTTGTTTTATTCATTAACACCGATATGGGCATTGCTGGTTGGGCAAGTACTTATTGCCCATCCCTAACTGTACATTGGAGTGATGGTGAGTTGCCTTCTAAAAACTGCAGCAGTCCTTAGGGTATCGGGAAGTAGCACAGTGCTGTTTGGAAGAGAGATCCAGAATGTAAATAAAATATTGCAGTTGATGGAAATCTGAAATCAAAACAGACAATGTTGGAGAAACTCAACAGCATCTATGGAGAGAGATATGTTAATATTTTGAGTCAGATGTAAGTCTTTTCACCCATTCACAGTGAAGGAATGGCAATATTTTCCAGCCAGAGTGGTGTGTAGCTTCGATGGGAATTTTTGAAGGCTGCCCAAGTATGAGTAGTTGCATTGGAACTTATAGATAATATACAATGCTGATACAGAATATCAATGGTGGATGGAGTTAATGTTAAGTTTTCGAAAGGGGCACCAGTGGTGGAGGCATCTATGCCCCCGGGAGGTGTAAAACCTCTTAAGAATAAATGCAGTTGCAATCACCCAGGCAAGTAGAGAGAATGATATCATACTCCTGACTTGTGCCTTGTAGATTGTGGGCTAGCTTTGAGAATCAGGAAGTGAGTTACTCACTGTAAAATTCCTAGCCTTTGAACTGCCACAATACTTATATGCCTACTCCAGTTCATCCGAGGATTAAACCTCAAGATGTTGAGGAATGTAGCAAGCATAATGCCATTAAATGTCATGGGGCAAAAGCTGGATTCTCTCTTGCTCCAGATGGTTATCGCCTGAAACTTGTGTGGTGCAAATGTTATTTGCAACTCATAAGCCCAAGCTTGAATATTGTCAAGGTTTTCTGCAGTTGGACATACTTTGCTATCTGAGGAATGGCAAATGGTGCTGAACATTATGCAATGATCAGAAAATGTGCCCACCTCTTAGCCTAAAATGGGTGTGGGATGGGGGTGTAGGTGGTGGTGGGAAGAATAATGATGAAGCAGCTGAAGATGATTAGGCTTAGGACACTGGCCTGAGGAACTTCTGAAGAGCTGTCCTGAAGCTAAAATGACTGACCTCCAACAGCCATAATCATCTTCCTTTGTGCAGTATATAACACAACCAGTGGAGAGTTTTCTAGTTGATGCCAGTTTTGCTAGGGCCTCTTGATGACACATTTGGTCAGTTGCTGCCTTGATGTCAAGGGCAGTCACTCTTCAGTTCCATGTTTAGAGTTCCACACTTTTATCCATGTTTGAACCAAGACTGTGAATAAGATTAGGAGCTCAGTGTGTGTGATGGAACTTAAACTGAACATCAATAAACATGTTATTGCAAAATAAGTACAGCTTCATAACATCATTAATGACCTTTTCGGTTGTTTTGCCGATGATTGAGTGTAGACTGATATGGTAGTAAATGACTGGGTTGGATTTGTCCTGCTTTTAGTGGACAGAGCAAACTGGGTAATTTTCCACATTGCAGGGCAGATGCCAGTGTTGTAAGCTCTTCTAGGGGTGCGGCAAGTTCTGGAGCACATTTTACTACTATTTCCAGGATGTTGTCACTGCCATTGGTGTTGCTGGGACCTCAGGAGGAGGCTGAGATGGATTGTCCACTTGTCACTTATGGCTAAAGATGCTTGCAAATGTTTCAGCCTTGAGTTTTATGCTGATGTGTTGGCCTTTCCCATCATTGAGCACGGGAATATTTGTTGAGTCTCCTTCTCAAATGAATTGTTTAAGTGCCAATCAATATTCACGATGGATGTCAGTTCCTCTGCCACCGACGATCAATGGCTGCAGTGCATGCCACCTACAAGATGCACCACAGTAATTCACTAAAGCTCCTTAGGTAGCACCTTCCAAACTCATAACCACTACCATGTAGGACAAGGGCAGCAGATATAAGGGAACACCACCACCTGCAAGTTCTTCTTGAAGACACTCACCTTCCTGACTTGGAAATATATCACCGGCTGTTCAGTATTGCTGGGTCAAAATCTTGGAACTACACCCCCAACAGCACTGTGGGTGTACCTTGACCAAATGGACTGCGACGTTTCCAGAAGGCAATTCACCACCACCTTATCAATGGCAATTAGACATACTTGCGAAACCAGTGAAACCTACATCTCCTAAATAAATTTGAAAAAATGTGGCAGTATTGCAGAGTTTGGATTTGATCCATTGTTTATGGAATCACTTAGCTGTTTTCATTGTGTGCTGTTTATGCTGCTTGGTGTAGAAGTAGTCCTGTGTTGTAGCTTAACCATATTGATACATAATTTTTAGGTGCTTTTGGTGTTGCTTCTGGCATGGTCTACTGCACTCTTCATTGTACCAGGGTTGCCGTCCCAGCTTAACGTTAATGGTAGAGTGAGAGATATGCCAGATCATGAGGTTACAGATTGTATTTGAATCCAGTTCTTCTGCTGTTCATGGCCCATTGCATTTTGTGGATGCCTAGTCTTGTGTTGCTAGATCTGTTCAGAATCTATCCCATTCACTATTGTGACAGTGCCATTCAACACAATAAAAAAGTATCCGCAAAGTGGAGAACAGATTTTGTTTCCATACAGAATGTGCAGTGGTCACTCCTGCCAATGCTGTCATAGACAGATGCATCTGCTAAAGAAGTGGAGTGCCACAGGGGCCTGTGTTGGGATATTTTACAATCTACATCAGTGGGTTAAAAGAGATGAGCAAAGACATGGTAGCTATGTTGTGAAGTAGATATATGGAAATTTTCGATCAATATGGATAGGTTGAGTGAGTTGGCAAAAATCTGGCAGATGGAATATAATAGGTATAATTGTTGACTTTGGCAACAAGAATGAAAAAGCAGAGCATTACCTAAAGGAAGATGAACTGCAGAATTCTGAGGTTCAGAGGGATTTCGATGTTCTAGTTATTTAGCAAACAAATATCTATATGTTGAATTAGGCAGCAAAAAAAAACTTTCAGAGATTTTTAAAAAAAATTTATAGGAATCTTACCAGAATTTTATAGTAAATCTGCAGTTTAACACAAACTACTATGACAGTGCCACACAATGCAATAACCCTAACATGTTCCCTGTCCAGAAGCCAACTCCTCACCGGAGAGCAACTCAGCTCTTCTTTTTACTTTAGAAACCAAATTAACCAATCTCACAATTAAAACTCAACAAATTGCAAACACTGTCCACCAGGAGCAGTGCAACAATAACTTAAAAAAAATCAAGAAGTGGTGGTGGGGAGTGGCTGTAAACAAGGGAGGGAACAAAATCAAAATAATGTTAGAGAGGGCGATAATGCATTCCAGACCACAGTACCCACCTATTTCTGAAAGCATTTTGGTAACAGTGAATATTGTGTGAAGAATCCTGTTCTTCTTGTTTTTCAGTTTTTCTGGCCAAGTCACCCATGAATTGCAAGCATTGACCACCAGGGACCCCATTTTGTTTCGTATTTTGCGCTTTTTCTTGTTTCATTTTTAATGTCTTTGCTTTCAGTTTTAATAGCTACTACTGTGCCATTTCCAACTCACCTCGACATAGCTTCTGTTTCTTTACCTGTTATGTGAGAATATACTTGGCTTTATATCATGAATCTGTTTGCCATTTCCTGTCTCCTGCTATCCATCCCATCACAACTTCCCCTTTATACCTCCCCACTGTTATCCTTACTGTTACTCAGAAATTGGTGAGGGAGACAGTTAAGATCTTAATTAATTACTTAAGCATCCTTAAGCCACCACAAGCTGACCTTTTTTTAACCTGGTTTGCCATAAATGGACTTTAAGAGTGACTATTTAATGCCTGTAAAGTCCTTTGTAACTTATGTGCACTGAATCCTAATAAATGCCGCAACTAATATATACACAGCTCCCACAACTGTAACATGGTATTGCATTTTGATACAACAAACAACGGTAGGGCTTATACAATTAATGGTGGGGCCTCAGGTAGCGTTGTAGAACAACGGGACGTGGGGTGCAGGTACATAATTCTTTGAAGTTTACGTCACATGTAAACAGGGTGGTTAAAAAGGCATTTGGCATGCTTGCCTTCATTGCTCAGTCCTTTGAGTATAGGAGTTGGGAAGTCATACAGAGGTTATACAGGACATTGGTGAGGCCTCTTCTGGAATACTGTGTGCAGCTCTGGTTGCCCAGTTTTAGGAAAGATATTATTAAGCTGGAGAGAGTTCAAAAGAGATTTACCAGGATGTTGCCCGGTATGGAAGGTTTGAGTTATAGAGAAAGGCTGGATAAGGGGGGACTTTTTTCACCGGAGTTTAGGAGGTTAGGAGGCAACCTGATAGGAGTTTATAAAATAATGAGAGGTATAGATAGAGTTGATGGTAGTTGTCTTTTCCCTAGGATGGGGGATTTTGAGACTGGGGGCACATTTTTTAAGGTGAGAGGAGTGAGATCTAAAAACGACATAAGAGGCAAATTTTTTACACAGAGGGTGGTTCGCGTGTGGAATGAACTTCCTGAGAAATTGGTGGATGTGGGTGCAATTACAACATTTAAAAGACATTTGGATACGTACATGAAAAGGAAAGGTTTTGAGGGATATGGGCCAGGAGCAGGCAGGTGGGAGTAGTTTAGTTTGGGATTATGGTCGGCATGGACTGATTGGACAGAAGGATCTGTTTCCATGCTGTGTGATTCCATGACTGTAAAGCCAACAGAACCCAACTATAAACTGTACTTGGAGGCTTGAGCAAGAATTGCATGGGGAAAAGGTGTCTTAATGGTAACATCATTGGAGTGGTAATCCAGAGGTCCGTGTTAATGCTCTGTATGCATGACTTTAACTCCTACC